CGCTTACCCCCTCCTTTCTCCGCCGCCGACAGCCAGAAACTGACAACAAACAATGACAACATCATCGCAGTCATCGCCAAACACTAATCACTCGACTGAAGCGCGACAAAGTCTGCGTGCGGGCCGTGCGGCCGATAAAACACAAATACGCCCCTCGCAAACACAATCGCAGCGCAGCGCGCGCTTCTTGCTTTATTATTTTTGCGGTGAACAGAGGGTTGATTAACGAATACAAGCAAACTCTGGCATTCCTGACCCAACGACACCAAACTGCAACGCTGCATAGCTCGCCACTTCTACTCCTCTGCCTCCTCGTCCCCCTTCCTCCCTCACTCCCCCCCTCCCTCCTCACGCGGAGCACACGCAGCAGGCTGTGTACACAGGGGCCCATTCAACCTTGCGGCGAGATTTAAGAAGTAGCCAATGGCGCGAAATGGCGCGCCTTCAACAATTCGCGGTGGGGGAGGAAAAGCAGAAGGGGGGTGGGGGAGGGGTATCGGCAATTCGAATAATGGCGCCAAGGTAATACGCTATTGCAAGGCCTAGTGGAGAGGAGTAGCGCAGAAGGGTGGAGGGTTTAAGGGAGGGGGGGGGGGTCGACTGATAAAAAGAAATCGGCGCTACGTCGAAAGGAAAGGCAGATAAAGTGGGAGCGGTCGTAGTGTAGGGGCGGCCGGGGGGGGGGGGGCTGGCATTGTTTGCGTCGCCCTCACACGCGGCGCTCACTTGCACGCCCTCGCTGTTGTTTGCCGCCGTATCTGATGGAGGCGCAGCAGCGCCGCTGCACCGCAACACCGCGGGGGAGGCATTGATTCAATTACCCCAATACAAAGTAAGCCCCCCCCCCTTCCCCGAGCCCCACCGCTCCCGCTCCGAGGGCCACCACGAGAATTTATTTTTCAAATTAATGTTTGGAGAAGGGGTGGCCGCGCTAGGCGGCTGGGCCCCGCGCGCTGGCGGGCTGTGCTCCGTGGCTTTTGGTTACGTGTTGCTTGCGGGTGGTCTACCAAGGCGCGGCGTGGTGGTGGTGGGGAGGGGGCGCTCCGGCTGGCCCGGCCGAGGGATGCAAATCCAGGCTGGAGGAACATTAGCATATATATGTATGGCGGTGTGAAGTAGCCCAGCTTTAGGGGATAGTGACCGTTGCCCCTCCTCCCCCCTTTCTCTTGGCCTAACCGCATAGCAGCAGCGCCGAGCAGCGCCGAGCAGCGCCCCCCGGCGGAGGTCGTGCAAATCACGCCGCGGCCGCAAGAGATGAGCCGAGACGGGGTGTGGCGTGGCGGGGTGGGGCGGGGAGTGGCGGGGCGTGGCGGGCTGACCTCTTGCGTCGCGACGTGCGGTGTCGTATGGCGCGAGCCTACAACGGGAGCGATAGCAGGCGACCGATGTGTCGACCATGGCCGTCGCGTTTGCACCCGGACAGCATAAATCGATTGGGAGGAGAGTACGACCCAATTCATCCGCACGCGCTCGGGGCTTCTGCACGCTTATGCGTTATGGCTAGCTAAAGGTTTTGTTTCCGTTTCACCTTTATTTTTTTTTCAAACGGAAGCCATGACAACTCTGAAAAAATACCAACATATAGAAACTGCTAACAAGTCACACCTTTTGCGGAAGTGTTATATTATGAGTCTTATGTCAAATGGGAGTAAAGAGCCCTAACAACATAAAAAAAAATTGCTTTTGGAAAGTTGTAATTTCTCTGAGGAACTATACCCTTAACAACTTTTCATGGTGTGCGTGTGTCAGTGAGCTACTCTCCTCGTATCGCAACGCGAGGACTACTAGTCGAATGACTAGCTAAGTATCTGGTTCCGCTCTGGCTGCTCGTGGGGTGCGCGCGCACACACACACACGGACAAACCGGAACCGGAAGCCAGGGTGCATAAATCTCGCTGACAAAACAACAGCTTCCGGACAGACGTGACCACACCCGGAGGAGGGAGTCCTTCTCAAACAAACGCGCTGAATTCAATTCAAACTAAAGGGAGGGAGAGGAGA